GCCACTACACCTGGCTATTTTTTTTTTTTTTTTTTTTTTTTTGGTAGAGATGGGATTTTGCCATGTTTCCCAGGCTAGTCTCGAGCTTCTGGACTCAAACAGTCCTCCTGCCTTGGCCTCCCAAAGTGCTGGGACTATAGGCATGAGCTGCCACGTCCAGCCAGTAGTCAGTACTTTTAATCTGTCTGGTGTGGTGATGCTGGAAGTGAGAGGGTTGCTAGTGGGGAGGCTGCCTCCTGCCCCAGCCTCATCGCCGTTGTCTTCTGCCCCAAGCGCATTGAGAAGCAGAGCCCAGTACCCTTCCTTGGGGGCAGTGGTGTGGCTGGCGGCCATGGGCTTGGCTGGAGGGCTCCTCCCTCTGTTTGGGGCTGTGGTTTTAGTGGTATTAGCACTCTGGGTAACTGTGTGCTTCTCTGTTCTCTGCCCTGTATATAGAATGTTCTCCCTGGGGGTGGAGGAAGGAGGAATTCGGCGGCCTTGTCCCTGTGAGCATGTTGGAGCATTATTTGTTCACTGTGTAACTTTTGCCCTTTGGCTGACCCGCAGTGCTGTCTGAGAGCTGTGGGCTTGAGGGCGTGTCCCTCTCTCCTGAGTGTGAATGTGCTTGGGTTGCCTCCTCTTGCAGGTCCCCCTCTAGGCGAGTGCGGAGGCAGTGTGAAGGCGCTCTGTGTGACCAGGTGGGACATGTGGCCACCTGGGGCTGAGGTCGGAGCACAGGCCCTGCCTTGCCTCCTGAGGCCTGCACTGTTGTTGAGTACAAGGCTTTTGAGTTCCTTGAAGCTATGTCGACAGAAAAGTAGACACTTGGGCGATTTTTTTGACCGTTGTTTTCAGCAAGTGGAGACTGACTAGAGTGCTAGAGTGTCAGGGAAAAGGAGTCTTGACAGGTGGAGGAACCTCTCTCAGTGGGAAGTCAGTTTCCCTTTGTCTGTAGCGAGTCATGTGGAGCAGTTCTGGATTGCAGTTGGCTCTGGTGTCGTAAGTGACTTAGTCTCTTCCCGCTCGTCTCAGACCTGGCTCTGGGCAGGAGGTGTGTGCTGGCGACCCCATCTGAGGGCCCACTGGCCCCAAACTTCTCGGAGCAGCCGTGGAAAAGCTGAGTCTCTGTGTTTCTTTCTTTTTTTATTTTTTGATATGGAGTCTCACTCTTTTTGCCCAGGCTGGAGTGCAATGGCGAGATCTTGGCTCACTGCAACCTCTGCCTCTCGGGTTCAAGCGATTCTCCTGCCTCAGCCTCCTGAGCATCTGGGATTATAGGCACGCGCCAGCATGCCCGGCTAATTTTTTGACTTTTAGTAGAGATGGTGTTTCCTCACGTTGGCCAGGCTCTGTGCTCTTCTCCTTAATCCAGGTTATTTCCCTGAAACTGGTCCTGTGGTGGCTCGGCCAGACGCTGACCCCACCTTCCAGTGAGGGAGCCCAGGCCTCTGCCTCAGGGGTGTGCACGGAGCGGCTCTGTGTTGGGAGAAGCACCCGCTCCCGGGCTTGCTGTGGAGGTCTCGGCTTTCTGTTCTGTGCTGACCCTGTTACTACTTCAGGCTCCAGTGGGGACCTAAAGGTATATCTTAGAATGACTGTTAAACTAAAATTTAATTTACTTTAAGTTATGCAGGTAATGTACGAATACATGCTTCCTAGCACGTCAAGTGGGTGTGGTTACCGTGGATTCGCCAGCGTACCTGCTTACACGCGTGGGTCTCTTTCATTTTCCTCTCTAATGTTGTCAACCTGAAATGGGCCGTGAGCATGGGCTCTGCGTGGCGGAGTTGCCTGGGGGCTAGCAGGGGATTGCAGCCGGGCTGCGTGTGCCGGTCACACTGTATGTGCAGCCCGGGCTTGGTGCAAAGGAGAGATTTTTAAAGACATAAAGGAGACATTCACATAAGCTGTCTAGAAACAAAGACCCTTGGGGACAGGGCTTGTTGTGGGGGTTGGGGGAGCCCCTTTAGGGAGACGGCGGTTGTCAGGTAGGCACCCTGATTTGGAGTGCTGTGGTTTAGAGAGACCCCTGCGTTGTTCTGTCCTAGGCCCCCCTTGGTGGCTAAGCAGATGAACCTGCTCAGGTTAGCACACACCGCCGGCCTCCCCGCTTCCCATTGCTCCTCTGCCCCACGCAGCAGCTGCAGATTCTGCTACGATGGCTTCTGTTTGCAGGAGCACCTGGGTGGCATCTGGTGATGTTCGCTGTTGTCGCAGTGCTGTCCCAGAGGCCTGGTACTCATCCCTCTGCTCACCGCAGCCGTTCCTGCCTGCGTCCTGTGCACACGCCTGCTGCTCCCGGTTCAGTAGCTGGCCCAGGTGCTGGTCAGCTGAGTCCTGGCACGTGGCGGAAGTCAGGCGTCCCAGACTCCACTGTGGCCTTTGGGAGACTCCTGGGCCTGGAGTACAGTGGGTGCCCTCTGGCGGCCATGCTGTCTTCCAGGCGGGACTGTGGGTACAGTTTAGGAAGCTCCTTATCCCACGACCACATTGAACATTAAAACAAAGAGATTCAAAACCGAGTTATTTCCTGGCTGTGGCGGATCTCTTCCTGCTGTGCTTCACCGGACGGATCTGTGTTTTTGGCCCTGGGGGCCTGGGCTTCCCACCTGGTGTCTTTTTAAATGGTCACCAAAGGCCTTTTAGGTAGTTTTACTCTCTTGGAAGAAAAAGTTGCGTAAGTCATGATATAAACACTGTGCACACATTCGAGACGATGGGAAGTAAAGTGCATGCAGGAAGTTTAGATGTGCTGCGAAGGTTTACCTTCATCCTGGCTTTCCTCCCCGAGAGGGCGGCACAGGCCTGGAGGGCTGGCCCCTGAGTGCCCGCTCTCTCCACGGAAGAAAATGGAGCCATTTCCTGTAGTTTGTCCTCATTATCAAAATCAGCCTGCGGCGTTTTCAGAGTTCCCATTTACGGAGGAACAAAGTGGAGCTGTGCCTGCCGCTCTGCTGTTCATCTTTCGGCTGTTTCGGGAGGAGTGGGGAGGGGTTGCTGCACGGAGCTCTGAAATGGACTGTAAGAGGCGCTCGGGGAATCTGGGGAGAGGCACCTGGCTTTCAGGACAGCTCAGGCCCCTGCAGAATCCTCAACTGCATTTTGCTTTTAGTGAGATGATATTTTCCCAGGGAAGCAGAGCTTGCTAGATCATTTGCTGACTTCCTCCGAGCGGGAGCTCATTTATAGAACGGCAGGCTCCTCTGACCAGAGTCTTTGAGCTCCTTGGAGCCACGTTACCGTAGCTGGTTACAGAGGAGCTGCGTGGGCCAAGTGGGCACTGCCCAGGAGGTGGTTGGACTAAGAGCTCTGCCCGTCGGGCTGGGCAGTTGGATCCTCTGAGGGTTGGGGGCTCCCTCTGGCCTGGCCCCCACTGCCTTCCTGTACCCCCATCCCCACCCACAGGCCCTTAGCAGGGTCTCCACTGGATCTCACAGCTGGGGCAGCACCTCCTCGGATGGGTTTGGGGAGCTGCTGGGAGAGGCGTGGGTGGGGACGGGCTCTGGTGCTCACACAGCTCCAGTGTTAGGGTGGCGCTTCCTGGATTTGGTTTCTCCCCCGTTGACAGCTTTTTGCTTGTTGTTGTTTTTGTTTTGTTGGGATTCAGAGCAGAACAGGAAGTGGCTGGGCAGTCTCTTCCAGGGTGCCCAGTGTTTGATGTCACAGGCCTCTGTGCTATGTGCTTGGGCCATAGGTCCCATGAGCACGGCCTGTGCTGTGTACTTGAGGAAGTCAGGATTCCAGGACATGTGGGGATTCGTTTGCCTGACCTCATGGCATCAGAAGCTGCCGGAGAGAAGGAGAGCCAAGGCGAGCAGCCGGGCCCAGGACGTGGGCCTCGTGGGGGTGACAGGAGGTGGGACAGGGCCATGTGGGAAGCCTGATTCCTCCGGAGGTCTGGGTTATCCTGGAAGTCCATGGGGAGGGGAGGTGTCTGCTGCAGTGGAGAGTCCTGTCGCCATGAAGGAGGCTGTCATGAGCCAGGTGGGGACAGGACATGGAGCTGGAGACCAGGGCTGTGGGCCTCAGGGAAGCCAGGCAGGTGGCTCAGTGCGCTCAGTGCATGGGGCTCATACCCTGACCTCTGAGTGGGTAGGGGTGGCCCTGTCAGGATGGGCTTGGGGGCTGGCTGGGTGGTCACGGCAGGTGAAGGCAGATGGCAGTGTATGTGAAATGACCATGAGAGACACGTGGCTATGGACGTCCCAGTGCCACCATGGCAGGAGCCTGGTGAATTTCAGAGACTCTAGTGGTGCCAGGGCTTCCTCCTGCTGAGGTGCAGGGGCCGAGAGCCCTGGGGCTGCCGGGCCCTGAGGTGTCCATGTGGCCTGGGGTGGGCTGCAGAAGCAGTACAGACACCGGCTGGGCGGAGTCGGGGCTGTGCAGAGGCAGTGGGCCTGGGGAGGAGGCTGCTGGCTCTGTGGGCAGCCCTGGATGCTGGGGAGGCAGCTGTGGCCTCATAGAGGGCAAAGGCTGTTCTCAGTCCCTGAGCTGGCCTTGCCTCCCCCGGTGGGCTCCCAGTGTGACCGGGCCTGCATGGAGAATCCTCAGCAAGACCTGGGCGAGCAGCTTGTGCTGAGTGTGCGTTCATGAGGCCAAGAGCCCGGTGGCAGTGTCGGCTCAGGAGCTTCGCAGTTCCCAAGACAGCCTGAGTCAGGGAGCTGTTAAGACTGGGGCGACCTCAGACCCCAGCTCTTCTGGGCAGGGAGGATGCAGAGATGACAAGTGAGGAGAAGTGCATTAGGGAGCTCCAAGTGCCTATGCTGAGACCTCCTGACCCAGAAAGAACAAGGGCGCATACCTCGAGGATGAGGCCGGCTATGCCCCTTCTCTTGGGTGCCGGGCATACCGTGGCTCTAGACAGCACCCTTGCTGCTGTTGCACCTGAGCAGTAACCACTGGCTGCCTCATTACAGACAAGGTGTTGAAGCCTGTGGAGGCCTGACTGCTTGGGGGCGCAGGGGCCCATCACCCCGCACAGGCTGACGGCCCCTCTCCTGCTCCCCTGTGCTCCCTCCCAGGCCTGCCAGCACCAGCACCTCGAGGTCTCGCTGCCCTGCAGGACTCGCCTGTGGGACCAGGGGTAAGTCCAGGCCCCCCATGGCCACCCTCAGAATCCTGAGTCAATTACTTGCCTGTTTGGGGCACAAGAAAACCATCTGTTCCCCCTTATGCACAGCTGCCCCCTGCGTGCTTCTGTGTGGCTGGGAAGGGCCTGTTGGCGGCGGTGGGAGTGTCCCCTCCCACCCTGTCTTTGCAGCCTGTCCCTGATTTGCTGACTCCCAGTTCAGGCTTTTAGGGGGGCTGCCGCCTGTGACCCCTATGTTGCCGTCTAGGGCGTGTCTCCACTTCTCCCTGGCAGTTACATCTTACAGTGGCGACTCTTTCAGGACTGGACAGCCTTTGCTTTTTCTGAGAGGTGCTGAGGTGTGGTCCTCACTCTCTTTGCTCTCCCAGACTCACTCTACCAGGAGTGGTGCCTGGCAGCTGTTGGTGTCCAGGGCACCCACCAGGCACCCCAGCCCTGTAGGCCAAGCAGCCGATGCTGATGGAGACAGCGCTACTGCCGGGAGCCATGAGCTGCTGGCAGTTGTGTCCAATGGCACAGATCCCCATGGCACTGGAACTTCGGGTGGGAGGAGAGGCTCCTTCCCGCCGGGCCGTTGCCTGCTGAGCTGAGCTCCTGTGCGGCTGCTGCTCTGGAGTCCCGAGTATCCGTGGTGCTCATACGTGGCTCCAGGCTGGCCCTTGGCTGTGTGATTTTGAGCAAGGTCAGATGTGGCTTGTTCCTGCTAATGACTGTCGCCAGCATCACCCTGGAAATTGACTTTCTTTTTCTTTTTTTTTTTTTTTTTTGAGACAGAGTCTCACTTTGTCGCCAGGCGCCAGGCTGGAGTGCAGTGGCACAATCTCGGCTCACTGCAACCTCCACCTCCCGGGTTCAAGCAATTCTCCTGCCTCAGCCTCCCGAGTAACTGAGGCTACAGGCACACACCACCATGCCCAGCTAATTTTTGTGTTTTCAGTAGAGACGGGGTTTCACCATGTTGGCCAGGATGGTCTCGATCTCTTGACCTCGTGATCTGCCCACCTCGGCCTCCCAAAGTGCTGGGATTACAGGCTTGAGCCACTGCGCCTGGCCTGGAAATTGACTTTGTAGCAAAGCTGACCAATTCAGTATCCAAGGCTGTCTCCGGGAAGCAGCTTCAGTGTGTCATCTGCAGTGGGACACTGGATCACAAGTGAAGAATACTGAGTTCACCTAAAGGCACGAGTGTGTGGTTGGCCTCCTGGCTGCCCTGCTGGCCCAACCTGGCATTTTCCCTGGTCCAGTTTCCATATGACCCCGAGTGGTCACAACACGTTGTGGGGTCTGAGGGAAGCTGGGCAGGCCCCAAAGATCTCCTCTGCTCCCTGAAGATGCTACCAGGGTCCCCTGGGGATGCTTCATGCACCCCACACCCCATTGGTCCTCAGTGCCTCTTCATTTGTTGGGGCCTCTCTGCCTGCACTTGGTGTGGGCTGGCCGTCATTGCTGACCGTGAGCGTCCCAGGTGCTGGCTGTGTGTGCTGGGGGTGGAGTGCGCGTCTGAGATTGTGTCTTCAGGAGTGCGTGGGCTCTGGCCCTCCACATCAGTGTTTCACAGCCGCACTCATTTCCAGATGTCTGCAGTATTTATAGAAGGCTCACTGCGTACCAGGTACTATGCCAAACCCTTGCTGGGACTCTCATTTAATTCTCCCAACAGTCCTGCAGTTTAGGCACTGTTAGCCCATTTTATAGGTCAGGAGACTGAGGCAAAAAGAGGTTCACTGACTCACCTGAGGCTCCACAGTAATACCACGTGGCGCAGGCACTCCAGCACAGCTGTCTCCAGGGCCTCTGCTGGCCGCCGAGGCGGTCACTGCCTTCACAGGGAGGTGTGTTCGGCAGGAACTAGGTCGGCTAGAATCGCCTGGCCTTGGAGGTGCTCAGTCCAAGGCTGGCAAGGGACAGAGAGGCAGAGGCCAGGCCACCCTTGTAGCTTGAGATGCTTTCTCCTTTCTTGCTTGTTTTCCTTGTTAATAATATTCTTATTCAGATATTACAATCTGAGGGAGATCATGGAATCACTTCTCTGTCATTAAATAAAGGAACTTGAGAAGCGGTTCCAGATTCCAGAGCCACCGCTGGCCAGGAGGCCGCAGGCATCACTCTCTTCTGTGGCTGGATCCAGGGCTGCCCGGTGTGGCCAGCGTGTGTTGGAGGTTTGTGGACGGACCGGCAAGCTTCCGAGCCCCTCACCTGCGCTCTCTTTCCTTCCAGCTGTCGATTTCCCAGCTGGCAGCCTCCCCACGGTCCCCGACTCAGCACCGCTCGGCCAGGCCCACTTCCCAGCCACCCCGTGGCTCTCAGGCCTCTGCAGCCCAGGCAGTAAGTGCTGCCCACCTCGCCTCCCACCAGGGAATAGCTCCACAGCTCCTCACTTTGGGTTTCTGTGCTGTGCTTGTCCTCAGTTAGGTGGCAGAAACTGGCAGGTTCCCTGGGATGTGGGGGTGGGGTGGGGCATTGCTTACTCTGAGGCCTCAGACAGTTGCCATCATTCTGTCTCAGAGACCAAAGACGAATGTGGCCCTGAGTTCTTCATGCCACAGCACTCAATTCAGATTGTGATCTGCCCACAAAAACAGCTGCCCCTAGATCTCTACATGAAAGTAAAAGGAGGGTGTGTCTGGATCTAGAAACAGGTGAGACAGGCCCCCAGCACCCCGGGCCCCTCCTTGCCGTCAGCAGCTAAAGGAGGTGAGTGGAGCCTGCCGTCCTGGCTTCAGGGCGTGCTTACCGCTAAGATTGGCCCGTGTTGCCACCAGCCTTGGGGGGTTCCTATGGAGTTTGGTTTCAGAAGCTAGGGCTGGTTCACCTGTAAACTACGTCTTTTGTCTTAACTGGAGTTACATTGAGGAAAAATAGTTTCTTTTAATTCCTTGTTTGAAAACACTCTTAGCACCGTGAGTCTCTGCTGCCTTATCTAAAGCATCTCTGGGGCTCGTGTGTTTGTGAAGAGCTTGCCTAGCGTTTTATTATTGGCACCTGAGTCATGGCATGAGGGTGACCTGGTATCCCTCTGGACTGAAACCGAAAGCTTGGGAATGAAGCTTGAGAGAGCACATTCCCGACTCCAGAGGCAGTTCCCCATTGAGAGGCCTGCCTCGGCCTTTGAGGTGGAATACGAGTGAATGATGGAAAGTTTCAGGGGCTGTGGGGACAAGAGACTGTCCAGACACATCAGCCAGGGGCTCAGTGCCACGGTTTATCTTGGAATGTTGAGGACGCTTCATCTTTCTGAGCTTCTATAAACGTGTTTTGATATGATTTACCATCTCAAGTGTCACCTATCTTCCACGGTCCTGACCTGCTCATAAAATTAGGATTCTTTTCTCACTTCTGACCTGCTCATAAAATTAGGATTCCTTCTCAACTCACAAATTGGGTTGCCACGTGAAATATAGGATGCCCAGTTACATTTGAATTTCAGGTAACAACAAATAATTTTTTAGTATAAGTATGTCCCAAATATTACAGGGAACATACTTATGCTGAAATTATTTGTTGTTTACCTGAAATTCAAGTGTAATTGAGCCTTCTGTATTTTTATTTGCTAGAGCTGGCAATTCATCGATAAATCCCCTAGCTCAGAGCATCGGTAGTTTTACGGGTTGGGGTCCTTGGTGGCCTCACTTGGAAGCCCTCATTTTGTTCAGCAGGAGTTCCCATTGGAGGGTGGTGTCTCCCACCTGGAAGCCAACCTGGGCCAGCCCTCCCTGCTCCTCGAAACATCCATTGCTGAACAGTTACAGGAGCTGCCGTTCACGCCTTTGCATGCCCCTATAGTCGTGGGAACCGAGACCAGGAGGTGAGGTGTGGGTCTGGGTGGGATAGGACCGGGCACGTGCTGTGCCGTCAGACTGTTGGACCTGTGGCCAACACCAGGCTTTCCACAGGGAGGTGCATCAGCGGGTCCCCCCTGTCCCGGGAGGCTCCCTGAGGGTTTGCTGTGTCTCAGCTCTGCAGGGCAGCCCTCGAGGGCCTCCATGGTGCTCCTGCAGTCCTCTGGCTTTCCTGAGATTCTGGATGCCAATAAACAGCCAGCCGAGGTGGTCAACCCTGCACACCCTGTGACGTTTAACCCTCAGAAGGAGGAATCGGACTGTCTACAAAGCAACGAGATAGTGCTACAGTTTCTCGCCTTTAGCAGGTAAATCCTGGAATATTCTATGTTACTCATCGGGCTTTCACATTTCCTCAGTTGAAGAGAAACTTCGCTGAGGTTCTGACCTGGCAGAACTGTCCATGTTCAGGTCCTAGTAGATGCGGGAGTGCCGTCTGTTTTTATTTGATCTTGGCTAGGACCCACCCACGGTGTGTTAAAGGCTGTGAAAGCCGCTTTACACCATCTTCTGTGGTCCTTAGTTAGAACATGGACGTGTGTTGTCTAGGTCTTAGATCTTAGCATAGCTCTGAAGGCAGCTTCTCCAGCCGGAGTGTCCTTACACCCGAGAGTGCTGCTGTCTGGCTGGCTCGCTGAGAGCACAGCAAAGCGGTTCCATTGGTGACCGTGGCAGCCTCTTTACTGTTGCCTCGGTGGCTAAGGTGCCCAGACCATCGCCCTATGCAAATGCACATCAGACCCCCCAAATTCGGTGCCATGGACACTCAATTAACCTAGAGCTGTTGTTGGATTCAGAGTGGCCCAGGACTGCCGAGGAACGTCATGGCCAGAGACTGTGTATTTCACCTTCCAGTTCTACCGCTTCCCACCCGCAGCGACACCACGACTGCAGCTGGTCCAGCTGGAAGAGGCCGGGCAGCCCAGCTCTGGCGCCCTGACCCACATCCTTGTGCCTGTGAGCAGAGACGGCGCCTTTGATGCTGGTGAATACTCGTGTGCATGGCGAAGGCGAGACACTCTGCGCTGAGTTGTGTGTGTGTGTGTGAATTGTCAATGTTATTATTTTAAAAAGCGGTACTATGAAAAGTTTAAAACATACACAGCATTAGAATTATCCAGTGAACCAGTGCAGCAAACAGCCCCAAATTGGGAGTTAGATCTAGATTCGTGATTAGATTCATGTTTTTGTTTTTGGCAAGAATTCTTTGTAGCGGGTGATGTGTGCACCACCTCTGCTGCGCCCTTGACTTCTGCTTGCTTCTTTTTATATGACGTCAGCAACCAGATGCCCACTGCTGTGTCATTTGTGCAGTGGTGACATTCCACTTCTAGAACACCTGCCTTGTCAGCTTGGATGCTTCCAAAACCAGAAATTTCCCGGGATCAACTCTTTGCTTCCGTTGAGGTGCAGTTTGTATGGGAAAGGCTGGGTAATACTTGATTCTTCCCTTTATTTGCCAATTTCTGAAATAATCACATGGTTCCCTGGCATCCTGCAAGGGCGGGGACCAGTGGCTTTTTTTAAAATCTGGTATCATTGTAAACTAATAGCTTTAAGCTACATTGAATAGAAACACACCTGACATGTTGGTATTTTTGTTGATGGTCAGTTTTCCCATCTTCATCAGTGACACAGCTCATAAGGGTCCCAGCTGGGGTCTGGAACGCTGCCACCTCTGAAGGTAGAAAGTGGTGTGTGGAAAAGTGATGTTAAAATGCTGACCCCAAATGGAAGTAGCTTAACATTGGCACCTGGTGACAGAGACAAAACAAGTGCAGTGCCAGGGATCGAGGAGGCTGCTAAGTAATCACCAAGAAAGTAATTCGCTAGGAAGAGAAGCAGTTCTGAGTCTGCGAACTTGATGGCCGTATCAGGAGAAATTGGCAAAACCCCACAGTCGTAGGGGATCTATACATACTTCTCAGTAGATTGATAGATCAAAAAGAAATGAATTGAGGATATTATAAAATACAGTTTAAAAAGGTGATCTGGGGAAACCTGTACCCCATTTAGAGAATATGCATTATTTTAAAGCATACTTTGAAACTTACAAAAACTGATCATCCTTCGTACATATTTTTAGCTCACCAAGCAGGCGTCACCCTATACTGAGAGAATCAGTACAAATCTAATTTTATAACTTTCTCTGGCCATAATGCCACAAGATCAGAAGTCAGTCACTCTCTCCCCTACAACCACTCTGAACTGCTTTTTTTGTGTTTTGAATTTTAAAATATGCTTCTGATTATTCCATGGGTCAATGAAGAACTCAAAATATCAAAATAGAAATGCCTAATTATTTAAAACTGAATGACAAAATAATATTGGATATCAAAACTTAGGAGATGCAAGTTAAATTGTAATTACAGGGGGATTTACGGGTTTTTTTGAGACAAAATTTTGCTTTTATTGCCCAAGCTAGAGTACAATGGCATGATCTCGGCTCACTGCAACTTCTGCCTCCCGGGTTCAAGTGATTCTCCTTTCTGAGCCTCCTGAGTAGCTGGGATTACAGGCATGTGCCACCACGCTCAGCTAATTTTGTATATTTTTAGTAGAAACAGGATTTCACCATGTTAGCCAGGCTGGTTGTGAACTCCTGATCTCAGGTGATCCACCTGCCTCAGCCTCCCAAAGTGCTGGGATTACAGGCGTGAAGCACTGTGTCCAGCCGGGAATTTACCGTTTTAAATGGCTACGTTGATGAAGAAGAAAGTACCCTTTAAGATACTGTTTTTAATTATTCAACTCAAGAAATTTGGAGGAGAAAGAGCAAACCCAATAAAAGTAGAAAGAAAAACATTTGATGAGTGTAAATGCTTACAAGACAAAACAGCCAAACAGTTGGACACCAGGGTCACCAGGTACATACAGCAGGGGGTGCTTCTTGTTTCTTGTCCAGTCAATCGAGAGAGGCAGATGGCGGAGATGAAAATATCACTTTCTTTATCATGCATTTATTCCTGATGAAGTAGCTGTGAGACATGGTTGGTCTGAGACCCAGCTGTGCCCACTGGCGCCAGCCGCTGACATGGATGGCCTTTGATGGAGGTGGAGGTTGGCCAGACAGCAGCCGGCCTTGCACCTGGGGTGAGCCCTCGCCTCTCTGCACTCCTGAAAGCACATCTTGGACTATTGCATTCTCTCCTGTGGGCAGATGTGAAAAGAAGAGAGTGGGGAGGAGGAGTGAGCAGCCTACTTAGTTAGCCCAGTCAGTCTATTCCCCATCCCCAGTCAGTTGAGCTGCTCTCGCCCAGAGAGGCATGGGGGCTGGGCAGAGAGAGGCTGCAGGAGGCTCCTTTGCATGGAGGCTTGAAGCCAGGGATGGACGTTGGTTTTCACAATTCACTGGCCTTAATCAGGACTTCACGGCCAACCAGGGGTGTGGCCTTTGTCTTTGGGGAAGGGGGCTGATCACCACCAGGGTGGTTCCAGCCTTCCTGAATCACTTCAGCTAAGCCAACCACCTTTCCTTTTTCAATCCTCCTGAGGCCTTTGGTACGACAGTCCAACTTATGTCCCCAGAAGGCTATAAAATGGATCAGATGAATGCATCGGTCCTAAGGCTCCTCTGTGCTCACTGCTGAAGACTCATTCCCTATTCTGCTTCCCATTCCAAATTCTATCCAGTCATTTTATCCAGCACAGCTCGTCAGAGGCTCTGCAGTGAAGTTAAATGATAGCGTTGAGATCATTCAATAAAAAAGGCCAACCACTTAGAGATGCTCCTGACTTGAATATCAACCCCTTTCCACGATGATTTTCCAGAGAGAAATTCAAGTCCCCAAATTAAATTTCCTTGCAAGTTGAAGTCCAAAGGAATGAAACTCCAGAATCAAAGTTTCTTGTCATTGTGAATTACAAAGTCCAGAATTCTTAAGTCCAGTAAAACCAGCCTGATTGATTTCAATTTCTTACGTAGCTGAGTTTCTGCCTGGGCAGCTCTGGGCTTCCTTCAGCAACCACAGCTTGCGCACGGAGTCCTCCCTGGAGGGGTACAGTTCCCCAGGGCCTGGGGAGTTGCATCAGTTCAGAACTGAGTCTCTCATAAGCCTCACATAAAAGATGCTTCTTGTTGTTGTTGTTGAAATATAACATGCATACGGTAAAGAGCACAGATGGCAAGTGCATGGTTCTGTTATTTTTAAAAATTGATAATTTTATTTTTTTCGATCAGTTTTAGGTTTACGGTAAAATTGAGTAGCTGATACAGAGAGTTCCCATAGGACCTCCCCTCCTCCATGCTTCCCCTCTTACTAACATTTTGCATTGCTGTGACACATTCTTTTTTTTTTTTTTTTGAGACAGGGTCCTACTCTGTTGCCAAGGCTGGAGTGCAGTGGCACAGTCACGGCTCACTGCAGGCTCAATCCTCCCAACTTAGCCCCCACGTGCCTGGGGCTACAGGCATGCACCATAGTGCCCAACTAATATTTTTTTTGTAGTTTTTATAGAGATGGGGTTTTGCCATGTTGTCCAGGGTGGTCTCAAACTCCTAGGCTCAAGTGATCCTCCTACCTCAGACTCCCAAAGTGCTGAGATAACAGATGTGAGCCACCATGCCTGCTGATGTGACATATTTGTTACAACTGATGAAGCAGTATCAATACATTATTATGAATTAAACTCATGGTTTACACTAAGGTTCATTCTGCATTGTGTCTGTGATTTTTGACAAATACATGACATCATACATGACAGGATCATACAGAATAGTCTCATCCCCCTTACGCCTCCCCTGGGCTACACCTATTCAGCCCTCCCCTCCTCCCCTGGTAACTACTGTTCTTTTTACTGTTTCCATGTTGCCTTTGCCAGAACGTCATACAGCTGGAATCATATAGTATGTAGTTTTTCAAAACTGCAGCCTCCGCCTCCCGGGTTCAATTGATTCTCCTGCCTCAGCCTCCCGAGAAGCTGGGATTACAGGTGCACACCACCATGCCCGGCTAATTTTTTTGCATTTTTAGTAGTGCTGTGCGTTTACGGTTGCTCCTTGGATTTTTGTGTCTGGCTCATTCATTTCTTGGATTGCTGAATGATACTTCCTTGCATGTATGTGCTGCAAACTATATATCCATTCACCTCTTGAAGGACATCTTGGTAGTTTACAGGTTTTGACAATTTTGAATAAAGCTGTTAGAAACATTTGTGCACAGGGTTTTGTGTGTACATAAATTTTCAACCCATAGGTAAATCCCAAGGGGTGTTGCTGGATCGTGTGGTAAGGCTATGTTTAGTTTTGTTAGAAATCACCATACTGTCTTCCCAAGTGGCCGGGCCACTTTACATTCCCCCCAAGCAGTGAATGAGGGCTCTGGTTGCTCTGCGTCCTCGTCAGCATTTGGCGTTGTCAGGGCTTTGGATTTTAGCCGCTCCAGCAGGCGGTGCAGTGTTGTTTCGTTGTTGTGATTTGCGGTTCTCTAGCGACATGTGATGCGGAGCATCTTCTCATGTGCTTGTTCGCCATCTGTATATCTTCTTCCATGAGATTTCTGCTCAGACCTGAACAGATGTCTTTAGATATTTGGATGCGAGTCCTTTATCAGATACGTATTTTGTAAATGTTTTCTCCTGATCCCTGGCTTGTCTTTCTATTCTCTTAGCAGTATGTTTGGCAGAGTGAAGTTTTTCATTTTAATGAAGTCCAGCTCATTAGCTATTTCTCTCATGGACTGTGCATGGGTTGTATTTGAGAAGCCGTCTCTGAGGTCACCTGGATTTTGTTCTGTGTCATCTCCTAGGGCTTGTATAGTTTTGTGGTTTACATTTAGGTCTGTGATCCATTTTGAGTTGATTTTTATAAAAGGTATAGATTTTACAGAGTGAACACATCTGTGTTACGGCCTCCCAGCCCCCAAAAGGGGCTCTGGAACAGGGTGCAGAGGCCTCTGTCACCCCAGTCCTTCACCTCCCTCAAGGGAGCCACGCTTCTGACTTTGGCCACCGTAGACCAGTTTTGCCCCCTTTTGTGGACTTTGG